GGGGTTGGGGGTCGGTCCCCCCCCCCCCCCACACCCCCCCCGCCGCGCATTCCCACTCTGTGGCAGGGCAAGATGCCAGCCTCGGCTCCCTCCCTCCCCAGTGAAAACCTTCCGTGTTTTTCATGTGCGTGGCTTTTCCTCTTTTGGTTTTTTTTAAATGCAATGTTTGTAATGTGACTAAAGAGGGTTGTGGGTTTTTTGTTTGTGGCTTTGGGATTTTTTTAAGCCCTGAGGAGTTTGACTGAGCGGGCCTGGGGCACAGGCCTCCTGCCTGCCCTGCTGCCCACCAGCTGATGCCCGGTGCTGGAGGGGAAAGGAAGCCCCCCCATGCCACTGAGCACTGGGCTCGCTGCAGACCATCCCTGCTCCCTGTGGGCAGCACTGCAGCTCAGGCTTGTTTTGCTGCTGCAGGAGCATGGGTCAGGGCTGAAACCCTCTGGGTGAGCAGAGCATCCCTGAGTATGGGGAGGGAGTAGTGGGCAGGACAACCTGCTGGTCCTGGGGGCCTTGGTGCTTCAGCGGTGGGTCTGGGGAAAGTGCAGGTGCTCCTACCCAGCCACCCTGCCCAGGTGGCTCCAGGGGGGAGAGAAGAACAGCAGAAACGCAAGGCTTGCTCAGGTTGGGTATCCAGCCCTCACTTGTCATCAAACCACCAGCACCCAGCAGTAAAGACCATGATGGGGGCTCTGATCATTTGCTTTCTGAACCTCGAATTGCATTTGCACTTGCTGTCAAGGATCAAAAGCTCTCCCTGCCCCCATGTTCCTCCCAGGTGTCTCCCCACCCCCGGTGAGGGGGAGCATCGCTGCAGTGACCCAACACAATCCAGATTTCCTGGAAACTACCAAATTCATTTTTCCATTAGCTGAATGTCCCAGGCATGATATTAACTGCAAGCGAGATGCTGACGGGTGAGTGATACTGAGGCTGCGCAACGGTGCAGTGCAGGAGAAATCAACTCCTCCAGCCAGCAGGGAGTGAAGATGTTCTCCGGCTTTCAGCGGTGACAGCTAATGGGGACAAATGTGTCTTCTTCACAGAGACATCCAGGGCACGGCAGCGACTTGAGTGCGAAACGTGGCATCTGTCGGGGCTCTGCCTGCCCTGCCTGGCCCGGGCAGCTCTCGTGGAGCAGCAGTGCAGTGGGCAGGCACCACGCTGGCACGTGTCCCCGCACGCTGCAGCTAGCAAAGTGACTGCAGCTCTCTGCAGGCTCACGTCAGGGTGAGTGGGACGTTTGTCTGCACATTGGGGTTGGTTTTTTGGGTTTGTTTTGGGTTTTTAGCAGTCCCTTGGTGGAAGGTTACCGGTTTAGAGTAACATTGCCTGGGCTGAAGGGGAACATGGAGAGAGGGACTGGTGTAAAACAAAAAGTCATGATTTTAAAGTGGAAATAGAAGCCTGGCCTTGTGAAGAATGGGCATGCGCCTCTCCTGGTTTCAGTCGTGACATGGCCACTTGAGCCCTTCAAGATGAGCCCTTGTTCCCGGTGCCATGGGCAAGGCTGGCTGGGCCAGTCAGCCTCGCCTACCTCCAGCAAGTTAGATAGTCTGGGTGCTGTCAGACCTGGGTCCTCCAGCACTGTGTGTGTCTGGGTGCAGCTCGAGGACAGGGAGCAACTCCTTGGGGCAGGGGCAGGTGTCTCCAGGAGAGTCACCCGCATCTGATGGCAGCAAGGCTAAGGGGTGGCAGAAGAGTGGCTGGGCAGTGGCTCAGGTACTTGGCTCAGCTGCCCAAGGCTGGGCTGGAGGTACACTGGCTGAGGCCATCATCCTATGTCCAGGAAGCCATCCTGCCTTTAGATTTAAGCTAACATTTGTTCTGAAGGTTTATTTTGTCTCCTTTGAACTATTACTCTTGTGGCACAGCCCATCAGCCTCTCTAGCTTCTCCTCTGCTTTGCTTTGTCATTAAACCAGCTTGGTGCCAGAGAGCAGAGTCTTAGGACAAAGGCAATAAGGTGAGACGGTGCCATCATCACGGAGCTGCCCAGAGCCAGGCATCCTGCCGTGGGGCCATGCACCCAGCTCAGGGACAAGCTGCTGCCCTGGAGCCACTGGGCTGTGCAAGGCTGGCACCTCTGGGCTGAGGTGGGTGACTCAGAGAAGTCCAAGTGCCGTATGCCTCTGGCAAAACCTTTATCGAATGAATGTGAAATCTCATCAAAAGTAAATTGAGTTTCCATGAGAAATCTGGTTTCCATAAAGCTGTATTGCCTGACACATCTTATGCTGCCCGGACATAACTCTCGGAGCCCGCACCTAGCTGGTGGGTCATGAGGTGTGTGCCACGAGCCGCCTGCCACATAAAGCCCGCTGTGCCCACCCTGGACCCCGCAGCAGGGGCTTCAGCTCCTCTGCATCCCGAAAGGGCTCACATCCACCCTTCCAGCTGGGCACGGGCACCAGCACAGCCCGCTCGGAGCAGTACTCACTTCTGGGCCTTGGGTGGCTTCTCTGGGTAGGGGATGATGAAGTCAATGGCCGAGTCAGGCTTCTGGAGCAGTGTGCCCAGCTTGGTCTTGATCTCCTTGGCCCTGCGGAAGGGGATGAGCAGAGGCAGGTCAGGTGGAGGGATGGGACAGCAGGGATGGTCCCTGCCCTGCACCTGCACAAACCCCGACACAGCTGCTGGTGAGGTACAAAGCTGTGTAATTAATTACACACGGACAAATGGACCCTAATGCTGTAAAGGTGCCTGGCTGAGGCATTTCAAGCCGGGCACTCAGAATTAGCAGCAGCTCTTGATCTCGATCTCTTTGCTTTGTCCCCATCTGTGGCCAGGATAATTGTATCAGCAGAGCTGGCGGGCTGCTCTGAGGATGAATTAGGGGATGTGCGTGCAGCACTCAGTTCCTATCGTGATGTGCCGCGAGGAGATGAAGGAGCTCCCTTCAGAGAGGAGGCTGTGCAGGGTGCTGTGCTGGGCTGCGCAGCAGTGCCTGCCCCACACTGAGCCCCATCCCGCATTGCACCCGCCAGGCCCGCAACACCGATGGCCTCCGGAGCAGGGTGCCCTCCCCAGGTCCTGGTCTGCAGCCAGAGGGAGCAGGAAACTGTCTTCATCATGTCCCCTGAGCTTTTTGAGGTCACTGCCCCTGCCTCCAGCGATGCACAGTGCAGCCCCTGAGCCCACCGCTCTGCTGCCAAGCACCCTTGGCACCACGCAGCCAAAATCTTCCCTGTCCTGGGGGATGCTATTGCTAACACATAGGTTAGCACACACCTCTATACTTGCCAAAATCAGGGTCAAATGCTCCTTGGTGTGCTCTGTGCCCACCCCTGCCCCTCCCAAGCACTCACGGCTGGGGGCTTCCTCCTTTCTAGGCACTTTTATTAGGATTATATTATTTTTCTATTGCTCTCTTGGGGACCACCAGCAACGCACGCTGCCGGCAACCCACCACACTTCCTGCTAGTGCCTGCGGTTTCTCTGCTCATGCCTAAGTAATATATAAGCCTTATGTCTACAACAGAAGAGTCCTGCAAACAGGTAACTCCTAGGTGCTGCTTTGCCTGGGCAGAGGGGGAAGAAGGGTTTCAGGAGGTGAAGTAGCCTGACTAGCAAAGGAGTTTCATCCTCCATCTTTCATCCTTCATCCATTTGGAAGATACGTAGAAAGGAGGGTCCTGGGGCTTGACAGCAGGTCCAGCTGTTTCCCAAATAGTGCCCTTTCATGCAATACAACTTGCAATGTGGTCCTGAGCATCCAAAGCCATGGAGGAGGCCCCCCTCTGCTGCAGCTCAGTGTTGGTAACAAGAGCAAGCCGAGATTTTGCAGAAAAAACTCAGGTGTGCTGCGTAAGACTGAACAAATAAAGGGGTGAAAATGGACCCCCCAACCCCATCTTTGCAGGGCAGGACTCTTCCCTGGCACAACAACATTTGGTGACTTCCAGGCTCACTGGCACAGGGGGTGGATGAGAGCAAGGGGACACACTGCTTCCCCCACGGGCCAGCTGGGCTCGGTGCCTTCTCCACGGTGCAGCTGTCAAAGCTGGGCTGCAGCTCCCCGGCTTCAGGGCTCATTGCACTTCTCTCTGCTGTTTATTTTCACAAGCCCTCTGTGGACAATCGCTCCCTTGCTATGTCTGCTATTTAATTTCCATTCCTTCAATTTTTTCCCCTCCCTGTAAAACTCCCTCTGTGTTTTGGTTTTCCACCCCCCATGGGTGACTTTTTGAGACCTGGTGTGGGCTCTGCTCTACTGCCGGCTGCCCCCGCTTCTGCTGCAGAAACCTGCCTCCAACAGCCACCCTTGGACAGGAGTGGGCAGGGGCCGGCAAGGCCAGCGCCGGCCGGCAGAGGAGCAGGAGTGGGCAGCAGGACCAGTCAGAGTGAGCAGCCCAGCTTGGGTCTGCACGCGGCGGGTGTACAGCACGGGGCAGAGCAGGCCCAGAAGTCCAACTGTTTTCATGGAAAACGTCAGCAGCTACAGGGACAGCTTCTGTTGATCATGCTTCCGAGAAAACTTGAATCTTGCCTGGAAAGACCAGGACCTTAGGTGAAGGGTGATGAAGTCCCCACGCTCCCTACACTGAGGTGTCTCTGGGACAGGGATGCTGCCGTGCGCAGTTCATCCCACTTCCTCTAATAAATAAATAAAATGCGGGTAAATGCTCCGAGCCAGAGCTGGTTCCTGATGCCCAGAGCCTGGGGCTGGCTCTCCTGCGAGCCTCAGGTGCCCCTTGGCACTCCACAGGCTGGCACTGCCATGCCGGGACCCCTACGGCACAGCCCTGACCCACGTGGATGGCACAGTTGCAGCGAGGAGGAGGGGGCAAAGGCAGCAGGAGCTACAGCCCCATTAGCACTGAAGCAACAGGTGGGTGCAGAGTGTGCTCCAGGAAAGCTGATGGGGCATGACAGCCTCCTCCCCAGCTCTGCTTTCCCAGACGTCTGTGCTTGTGGCCACTGTTCCCCTCAGGGAAGGGGACATGTGGGCTCGGGGAGCATTTCTCAAAGAGGGGCTGAGCAGAAATGCCAGCTGCTACTGGTCCCTCTCCCTGCCATTGCCCCATGCTCGGGAGGGCAGAGCCAGAGATGCTGCTGTGGCTGACCCGGTGCCAGGTGCTGTGCACCAGGGAGGGTCGCCTCCAGCTGATCGGACCATGCACCCAATTGTAGGGGTTTCAGCTGGCAGGAGCAGGGGTGAAGAGCAAAGGGGCTCGCCCACCTCTGAAGCAAGGACAGTGGATGCCAGGGGGTCCCAAACAGGCAGGGGGAAAACACGGGCTGTGCTGGGAGCAGGGGCACTGAGAGCCAAATCTAACACATGGCAGCCTAAGGAGGTGGGAAGATAGGACCAGGACTCTGTTGCTGTCTGAGCAGGACCTGGGGACCTCACTACCCTGGTGCAGGTCAGGCCAACACATGTGCAAGATTTGAATGCAATCGATGGCAGCTTCATGCAGCAGCAAGCACTGTCCTGGATAACGCTCAGACCTGGTTCAAAATCTTGTTCTCCAATTCCCACCCGCTGACAGTGGCTTACGGCCAACATCTGTCGGGCCTAAAGGGCACTAATGGGCCTTAATGGCCCTGAGCAGCCCCAGCTGAGCCCCACACCCTGCCCATGGCCAGGGGTTCCATTCAAGCTCAGCCCTGGGACCACCTTCTCTTTGGTTGTGCTGTAGGTGGGCTTCTCCCCAGCCTGGTCTCCTGGCTTGATGTCAGACCTATATTGCAGCCCCACTGCCTGCTGCTCCCAACGGGGCTCCCTGGATGGCTCCATCCCATGGCACTTGTTGATGGACCATCAGCAGCTGCCCACCCTGCTGAAGCCCCGTGGGTCCCAGTGTGGGGACAGCAGCAAGAACCTCCTCACCCCAAGCAAGTCCTCAGCTGTGGGGCCTTCATGAAATACGGGGAGACCACAGAGATGAGGAAGCGAGAAATGACAGCCAGAGGGCTGAGTGGTTGCAGGCTGGCGGGAGGGAAGGACTATTTAAAGACATCATCCTGGTGTCCTCCAGCAGATGTATTACAAGCTCTCAAGGAAGACTTCAGCAAAGGCTAAACAGCAGGGTAAAAAAGGCAGTTATAAACAAAAAGGCACCCTTCAAAAAAACCCCAGCTATGTCTGAGTGCGAAAAAGCAAGAGGACCATAAACTGTGGAAGGTTAAGTGTGAGAACGTATGGGAGCAAGCCAAGAAAAAGTCTGAGAAACAGCTTCCAAGAAGCATTAAAAGAAAATATGGGCTCTGTCAAACACATCAAGCGCAAGGAGGCTGTTGGGGAGGGCCAGGAGAGACTCCAGCTTTAAAAAAACCAAAACAAAGCAAAAAAAAAAGAAGCTTGAAGAAGTTAAAGCTATAGCTGAAAGCTAAAGCTGCTGCTGTGTCCGAGGGCAGGGAGGTGCTGGAGGGAATGCCCCTTGAGGAGGAAAAAGGCTCCAGGGGGGAATTCGAGGAGCCATAAACCTGCAAGTGTGATACTGTACGGGCATGTCAGCAGCAGCTGTATCAGATGGCCATGGTAGACACATGGACAAATATGGTCTATTGGAGAGGAGTCAAGGCAGCTCTGGCAGTAGGAAGAGATTCCTTCAAACCTATCGGCCCTCTCTGAAGAGGCCAACAAGCATGTGCCTTGGGGAGAGCAGGGGGGTACCAGCCCCTTGGGTCTGCAGGAGACCTTGGATGGGCTCTCCAGACCCCAGGCAGCTGCAGGGGGGAAGGTCATCTCATGGATGACAGCATGGGGAGCAGTGTGGGAAAGGTAACACACAACACGTAGGGGATGTTGTGTTTTTCTCGGTGGGGACGGTCCTAGGGGAACGCGGGCTGGGACCATGCTGTTAAACATATCACATGCATGGGGAGAAGGGCTGAGCAGCAGATACTGCACTACCCGGGTACAGCACTTGGGGACTGGTTGTGAGGAACTGCAGGAGGGTCTCGTGAGACTGGCAATAAAGCAGCTGTTGAAATTCCTCATAGAGCAATACAAAACAATGCATACAGGACAAACCCAGTCCTAACTCCGTGTATAAAACTGTGGGCTGTAAGCAAAGCGGCCTTTCAAGAGTGAGGATTTGAAAGTGTAACAGAAGTCAGTGAAAGCATCAGCATAGCAGCAGTGAAAAAAATTAATGTAGTATTAGAAAGTAGCAGAAGAGTGACAACAAAGATGATAGCAGAGCAGAAATGTGTGGTTCACCCACATCTGGAAGAGCGCTGCCCGTGGTGCAGGAGGCTGCGGGAGACCAGGCAAGGTGAGCATGGGGCCGCGAGGATGGCCGAAGGGCACATTTCAAGCAAAGAAATTGTCACAGGCCCACGCTCCTGTTCGTGCCTGTGACGGGAATTTGCCTTGCTTTTGGGCAAGGAACATCAGCTTTAGCTGATGAAGGGGGACTTCTCCTGGGCTCCCCCCAGGACAGTGAACGCCACCCTTGCTCTCATGTAAAAACCAGTACCAAGGCATTTGCAGCTGCGAGGAAATCCTCACTGGGTAATTCACGTGTAAAATCTTTTACCAAGTTTCCTCCTTAGGTGAAGGATCGAGTGCCCTGCTGCTGCAGGGAGACCCCAGCCTCATGCTGTGGCCCCCCTTGCACCTCTGCTTCTCACTGGACCCACTCCAAAGCCCCTCCAGCTCCACAGGAGCGGAGGAGGGGGCACGTTTCGATCAGCATGGAAATGGCTGGGGGCTGCAGCCTGCCTGGGTTCCCAAAGGGGTGAGAGCAGCCTGGGAAGCACCACCACCCCACCACCACCCGGGGCAGGTTTCAAGGTGAGCACTGGGGCAGAGGGGGATGAAGATGAGGATGGGTGCCACGAGCAGGGCAGAGTAGGCTCTCTGTACAGAGCTGAGCCTCGTGAGAGGGGCTAGGGCTGGCTAATCCATCCACATGCGAGGGAGACGCAGGCAGTTAAAGAGGATTTTGAGGCACTTTGGAGCCAGGGCTGTTTTCGCCTCAGAAAGGCAACCGCTTTCCTGCTTTTTTCCTCCCCCGCCATGTTTTGCGAACATTAAGGTCTGAGGACAATGCGCTCCTGCTCCGGGCCCACACAGGGGAGCAACTGAGGTTGCTGAGGGGTGGGTTTGGGGCAGCCTGGACTTGCCCAGAAGAGAGGTTCCCAAGCTGGAGGGGAGAGTTTGGGACTGGATCAGCGCTTGCCCCCCCAAGGGTCCCAGCCACTCGCAGCACCGCGCTAAGCCCCCACCAGCAAGCCTCCCTTCCCTCCCAGTTCAGAGCTGGATGATCCCAGTCCCCATAAGAGATGTCCATCATGGGGATGTGCTGGAGGAAGAGCCCCTCTGCCCCCAGCCGCCCCCAGCAGAGCCCTGCAGGGAGGCAGGCGCCCCGGCATCCCCGCGCGGGCTGGCCACTCTCACCTCTCCAGGCACGTGTGGGGCAGCGCTGCTAATCCTTTGCACATCTTGGCAGGCTGTAGTTTTCCTCAGCCACGAGAAGACTGTGAGCGATAGCTAAAGCAGGCAGCAGCAGCTCTGTCTGCAGCCCAGCTCCCCCCTCTCCCTCCTATATAGTGCCGGGAGCTGGACCCCCGCCAGCCCCGTAACCAATGCCGTCCGTCCCGCTGCAGCTGGCCCCAGCCCCAGCGGCTTCTGGATTTTGTTTTCTCCTCTCTAAGCTCACACGGGGGGAAAAATGTGTTTTTTCTGGGGTGAGATCAGGTAACCAAATTGGAAGGGCCAAGCTGTTATTGGGGGGGCTTCAGGAAGCCCACAGGGTTTTGTCTTAATGATATATCAGGCTCCGGGTCAGTATTTAGAAGAGCCAAGTAGAAATGCTTCACTCAAGTAAGGTTTTTTTTCAATGAAAAACGTCACTTTCATAAAAATAAAAGTGCTTAGGAGAAGCCTTGCTGTTGATTTAAAGGCTGTGGCTAATGTCAAAATATCCACAGCTTCAACAGTGGTTATTGGCTGGTGGGTAACAGTGACTTTTGTTCCAGAACAAATTCATTTTAATGTAAGCTTAAAAAAAAAAAAATCTTTTAACCATATAGCAAATGTACCGGTTTTATCTGACAGTGACACTTTGAGGCCAAAAAGGATTCCCACCCAGAATTTTGTTAAGTGGAAAATTTGGACCCTTTTTCCATCCCCTTTCAGAGCAATAAAACACATGCCAGAGCTGCCCGTGATGTGGGATGTGGGGCTTGAGCAGGGACCGATCCCCACCTCCCATGCGTGGCTCTGCCCCACCAGGACACAGCCCCTCGCTCACCTAAAGCTTGGGTGCTGCACAGCGCTGCAGTGTTTCTGTTTGCTTGGGTAAGATCTCTTTGATTGTGCCACTAAAACTCGCAATCAAGGAGCCAGTGCCTCCCTATGGTCATGACATCTGTGGCATGAGTTCCTCCTGGCCTCAGCCAGGCACAGTGTAGGTGCAACCCCAGAGTGAGGCTGCCTGCTGAGAGGCAAATCACGGCAAAGACGGGGACCAGCCTGGTTCCGAGAGGCCCTGTAGCCAAAGCCCTGACTCAGTGGCTCCCCACAGCCACTCAGGGGGAGAATGAGCAGCCAGCAGCTACAATGGATTCACTCCTAACACTGCTTAGCAGCGCTTGGAGTGGAGAGGGTAGCTGCGGCCATCCCAGACGTTTCCCTCCTGGCTTCCAACAGGGATGTGACAGCCTATCCTCGGCAGGGTCACGGCTCATCGCTGGGCTCTGCATGGCCAGACTAGAGCCAGCACAAGGGGAAAGTCCTCAAACACACGCAAGGCGGCTATGGGGGCCTCAGCACCAACTCTTTTGCAGTTTGTGTAGCAGGACTTACACCAACATGGGTCTTTGCTACCCCACATCGGCACCTGTGCAATTACACCGGCTCCTCTCTGCCTCCACTTCCCTCTCCACCCCAGCCAGGGCATCCCCTGGGCATCCTGCTTGGGGTGTGGGCTCAGGGTTCACCCTGAAAATCTGCCATGTGCTTGTCCCTGACCTCAGCTGCCTGGGTGACTTTGAAAATGTGCATCCAAGTGCTTTGTTTAACACCCACAGCTCGGAGCTGGGAATAGTAGACCTTGCTCCCAACCTGGCTGTCCAGACTCCAAGGGCACTAATGGCCTTAATTGCCCTGACCAGCCCCACCTGCCCCCTGAGCCCAGGGCTATATTTAAGCTCAGCCCTAGGCCCCCTTTCTCCTTCTGAGCAGTGTCAGAGGCGTGCCCAGCTCTGGCTCCTGGGTGGACTTTGGACCTGCATTGCAATCCTGTCTCCTGCTGTTCAGGGATTATGCAGCAAATGACATCTGTGTTTCAGTGTGTGAGTGCAGTAACTGAAAACTAGAAGTCTGCTAGAAACTGTGCCTCCCTGGAGAGCTTGGGTTAGCTTTTTACTGGTTTATAATGGAAATTGAATCAAAAAAGTACACCCTAAAATTTTGGAGGATGAGATGCTTGAATGACCTTTCACTGGGTTTGTGCTGATTAGAGACCTGCAGATGCACCCAAGCAGGGGTGCCAGACCTGCTGGATTTGGGGGCTGCTCCTTCCTGCTGCCCAGCATTTGTGTGCCCACCAGCCCCCCTTGTACCTTGCAGAGGCGAGAAGGAAACAACGGCACCCGCAGAGGATGGAGGTACTTTACTACTTCACAAGCTGCTATCATTTTGCCCCTTTCACAGAGGAGTTGGGGGGAGGCTCTGTTATTAGCATGGAGGGGCCTCATCCCAATTTGGGGATAGCCCAGAGCCCAATTGCTCCATCTCCCAGCAGCTGGGGTGCAGCCCCGCCCTGCTTTCCGAGACACTGCAGCCTTGCAAGCTCAGTAGGTCTGTTGGGCTGTGCTAGTTGCCCTTGGGGCCAGAGAGTGTGTCAGGGCCATTCCTTTGCTAGGAGGGTTGTCACCAGGGTATCCCAAGTGCCAGGTCAGTGCCTGCCAGCCTGGTGGCTGCTTTGAAAGGCTCCTTTGAAGCCAAGGTGCTGTTTGCAGGGTGCTTTGCCAGCCGGCTGGGCACCTCCCAGCACGGAGGGGAGCAGGTGGCAGTGAGGGATGGGAGAGAGGTGCCGGCAGTTCTCACAGCTGCTGGGCTGAGAAGGGCAGCGGGGCCATGGGACCACATGGGAAACCCCCACAACCTCACGCTCGGCTGTCGAGCTATTGGGAACACAGTTATTTTTTCTCATTAATCTTCAGTAATACAGTCAGCATCGGAAATCCCAGTGGGAGCTCAGATCTGTGGGATCAGGCGGTTTGTGTGAATGCTGTCCAGCAGACACCAAGCACCCTTACGTGCTCTCCTTCCAGCTGCAGCCGGGGCCGCGTGCCCCTGGAAAGCAGACAGCCTCTCCAGCACGCTGGGGGCATGGCTCCAGCTCTACAGACCTCCTGCTGCTTGGAGGAGCCCAGAGCTTTGCCCCGTGAGACCCCCATGGAGGAATTGGGTCTGTCCCCTAAAGGCTTTTACCTACTGTGCCTCTTTCAGTCCTGGGTGGGCAAATCCCCTGGTCCTGTGGCTCTGCCATAGTTCAGTGACCGATGCTCTATAATCTCTTCCACAGCCCCAGGGTGGGGGTTTAATGAATGCACAAAGCAAGTTGGGGAAATGAGGTCCAAAATGAGCGATGAAGCTTCATGTGAGAGGGTCGTAAGGAAGCTATACCACGCACTGAGATTGCAGTTGTGCATTTTAGTAAAGACTTATCTGAAACACTGAAAAAGAAACCATATACCATTGAGCAGAAACAAGGGTTACACAGAAATAGCTTGTATTTTCCACAGACCTTTGTCCAGTAAGAAATGTTTGGTTTGTGCATTTCAAGGCTTTACAGTGCTAAGAAAATATTTCCAGTAAGAAACTACCCAGACCTTCCTCTTCTTCCCACGACAGCTTAATTTCTTTAAGAGCCCTTCTGGGAGAGCTTTTTGGAGATCCAAGTGCACTCCAAGGTCTAGATTGTCTTGTGTATACAATGGCTGGTTTCCTCCAAGAGTGCTCTAGGTTTGTGCCTTGCAACTGCCCCCTCAAAAGCCACGTGGAATCTGCCATTACACCACATTTATCCTGGGCTCTGTTATTTCAAGATGTTATTATCCTTTCTAACAACTTGCCTTTTATAGAAGGCAGCCTCACTGCTTTGCAGTTTCCTGGTTCCCACTGGAACTTTTTAAAAATTAGCATCATATTTAACAACATTGGCTTTTTGGTAGAGGGATCACTGTAATTCTCACCCAGGCGAATATTTGGCAGTTCATCTGAGCGCTCCTTCTGGCAGATTTTTAACCATGTGTTCTAAAAATGGGGTTAAAATCTCCTTCCTCCCCCCTGCCCCAGTGCCTTGGGACAGTCATGCAAATGCATGTCCCCTAAGGACGAACCTAGTGTGAGCTCCTTCACAGCAAAAGCCAATGCAAGTAACTCACCAAGCTTTTCCATGATGGCTCTTTCCTTCTCATAGAGCCTGATCACGTCCTGTCCCCAAGGGCTCTCTGGAGAGCTTTCTGCTTCTCACATAGTCATGATTAATTTTTATGCCTTTAGGATGCTTTCCTCAAATCTTCTGTGGCCTGCCTTTCACCTGTAACTTTCCAGAGCTTATATTCTTTTTTCACTCTCTCATCTGTATGCAATTTTCACTTCAAGGTCTTGCCACTTCAGGTGTTCATTTCCACTCCCCTGTATAAGCACATCACCTTTTTTAAGGCCAGCCTACCTCTCATTTCCCTTTTGACATTAAATATTGCTTTAAAGTTACTGCTTTTGCTCCCACCAGGACAGTCTGATCAGTAATTATGGCTCCGTGGCCTCTCGTTTGTTACCTTTGAACTAAGCCCTGTGCATGGTTCAGGAGTCACTCGGGTAACACACAGCGTGGGGTTACACCATCCCACTGCCTCCACCAAGCTTCCGAGGTCCAGCCTGATGATTAAAATGCTCGTATAGAAGGGAGGAGACAGGGGATCCCGGCCCCCTCCGCTTGCTGCATCCAAGTCACTGACACAGGAGCCACGGGGTGAGGTCGAAGAGGAGAAAACCCTGGAAAGCAGTGTTACCCGCAGCACTGGGACTCTGGCCAGCTAGGAATTCAGGAGTCACGTAAGTCCTGTGTCCCAGCTGCGGAGCCGCCAAGTTCCTCGACCCCGAGCACAAGGCCTGAGAACGGCCAGGGACACGGCTGGGACACAGCGCTGTTCCTCCCGCCTGCTCTGTGCCTGCAGTAGGGACCTGATCCCCTTCCAGCACCCAGGCAGCGCTGGGCAGGGGCAAGCCCACCCCGAGACATGCACGGGGCTAGCCTCACCTCTTGCACACGCAGAGCACCCTTGGGAATAGGGCTGAGCTCTGGTTCACGTCCATAAGGAAAGTGCAGAGGAGCCAGCGGTGACAGGCATTTTCAAGTCAATGCAAGTATTTGCATGGCGTTTATGCTACTATAGATACTAAAATCACAGCCTGGATCTGAACAGCAGCATCCCTGTAGCAGCGCCTCTGCACCCAGAGCAGATCGTTGAGGACAAGGCACACGCTCCGTGTTTGTGGAGACCTACTGCAGGCAGAGCCAGCGCTCCAGGCACATCAGCAACTGCTGCTGAGCTTCCAGAAGGTCCACTATCCAAGCGGCACTGGTGCCACCGTGTGCTCTGCAGGGTGCAGCCTCAGCACAGGCAGCTGTGCACTGTCTCTGCTTTCCTGTGTCCATCTACAGCATGGCCACTTGCCCGTGTGCATTCCTTGAAGTGTCACCAAAAGACACAATCTGTGAACAAATCTGCTTGGGTTGGCAATGTGCAGGAGACAAACACAATTTCAACACAAAGCTAGCACAAACAGACCAGTCATTGGATTTTATTTAAGGCCCAAATTCAAGAAATTGCCTGGATTACACCATTTTTACCCGGATTCGCGTGCTGGATCCAGACAGCAGAGCATATTGTTTCACCTCACCCACCAGCCAACACCTGCATTTTTGATCACTTGACATAATCAGCTGCCATGCAAACAAGTGCACCTCTATCTCCACATTAGTCATGCAAGCACCCCGCTCCTCTCCCACACGTGCATTCATCCTTGGCCCAGAAGAGCATCTGAATGGTGAATTAAGCTCTTTCCTGCCCATCCCTTTTGCTCTACGTGCCCTGCTGTGGCACTGCCTTTCCCAGCTCATGGATGGCCCCATTCTCCAGCACCTCCACCTTCCCCACGCCTGGCTGCAGCACACTGGCCACCATAGCCCTGGCCACCGTTTCCACAGGCACCGAGTAAGCAGTGGGGAAGACCCGAGCCACAACACCCAGAAACTGCTGGGCCATCCACTCTGCGGGGCGGGACTCCTGGCGCTTGCACAGCAGGACCCTGCAGAGTGAGGAGGTAAGGTGGGTCAGGCTGAAACCATCCCCCAGGGAAAACTAGACACTGGGTTCTCCAGCTGCGCCGGGGGCCCAGCCCAGCTTGATAAACACACATGGGGGCCATGGGGCCTTGGCAGGGTCGCAAAACATGACTGAGCTGAGCCCTGAGACGCTAAACTCCTTTCCCCGGAGTGCTGCCAAAAGCAGGATGCCAGTTTTCCTAGGCAGCAAGAGCATAGTACAGCTGAAAGGATACAGGTGAGTATCCCCCCTGCATAAGGTCGAAGTCTGCAGAGATGAGCATTGACCTATGTCCCCCAACCTCTGCTCTCAATCCAAGCCTCTTCTCCTTGCATAGCACGTGACACTAGCATTGGGACGGGCCGTGGGAAATTGCTGTGCTTGCTCCCTGCAGCATGTGCAGGGAAGCAGTGTGCTCATCCAGGATCTGCATTTGCAGCCAGTGGCTTTCTCCACTTCCCTCCCCAGCCCTCCCCTTATGCATCCTTTCTCTCTTTCTCTATATCCCAACATGCTGCCCTGGCAACCCTCCACCTGAGTCATGTGCCCTCCCTCCTCCACTGCTACTCACGCTGGCCGGAGAATGGTACAGCGATCAAAACTGACAGCCTGGACCAGGTTCTCCACTTCTCCCTGTCAGAGCAGTCAGGCAGGATGAAAGGAGACAAGGATGACTGCAAGCACCATCCCTGCTGCCCCGCGAATTGGCAGGAGAGAGTTGCTGAGCCATGGGCAGCACGGCACTAATGCCAATGCAAAGCTGGTACAGGCCTGCACTGCCTGGGCAGCGAGCAGCTCTCCAGGAAAAGGCAGCGTGGGGCGAGTGGCCATGGTGGACACATTAACCGTTAGTCAGCAGCGCATCCTTGCAACCACCATGCTAACTGCAACTGGAGGCTCCTGAGACAGCATCTGGACACAGTGTCCAGCCTGGGGATCCTGGCACAAGACACTGGCAGACAGCAGTCAGTTCAGCAGATGTTGGGGGCTGCAGCACACAACATATGGGGAAAAAAACTTTCGCGATGGGTATGGTCCCACCTGGGGAGCCTGTGGGTTCTTCACCCCTGGATAGTTCATGTCTCACCTGGACACAGCCCTGAGCCTCCCCACCTAGCTGTGAAGCCATCCCAGTGTGGGGTTGGGGAGCCGGGGTTGGGCTGGAGACCCCAGCAGGTCTTTCTGGTGGTTTGAAGAGGGAGATGAACGCTGCATGTGGGTGCTGTGCTGCTTTGGATGAAGCCAGTCGCATGTCTGTCCTGCCAGCCCCCTTCCCTCACCACCTTGCCCCCCGGCACCAGGAGGACCCTCGGAGCCATTTGCATCTCTTGTCACCTCAGCTCCTGCTTCCTTCCTGAGTGTCCCAGGAGGAGCCCACCCCAGCTGCCCCCTCACCTTCACGCGGAGGTAGAGGAAGAGGCTGTGCTGGTTTGCCCCCTGGGAGGACTGCAGGACAAAGTGTTTGCAGCCCCCTGCCCGTGCCAGCTCTGCTGACTGCACGACGTAGTCCCGGTCCACACGGACAAAGCCAGCCTGCAGGTAAAGGAGAGCGGAGGGTGAGCGCGGCGGGTGAGAGAGCAGCAGGACCACTGCTCCCCCGGGGTCCCACTCACCGCACCAGCCTTGGCCCTGGTGGTGCCCAGGCAGCAGAAGCCGACGTCGTGTCCCTGGAAGGCGGCGGCGTGCTCGCTCAGCCGCTCGAAGTCCACCACCACCTGCTCCTGTGGGGAGGCCGAGGGTCAGCGTGCCCGCCCTGGCCAACCCCCGCTCCCCCGGCACCCTCGGGACCCCTGTCCCTGCGCACCACGGCCGCCCCCGTCTCCTCGCCCAGGCTCAGCCGGCGCCGCCCAACCAGTGTCACCCTGGCAAAGAGCTGCCGGGCCAGCAGCTCCCGCAGCAGCGCCTGGCCCGTCTCCCCTGAGGCACCCAGCACGAAGCAGGCCCTTCGGGCGGTGGTGGGGCGGGCCCAGGCTGGGCGAGGCTGCGCTGCCGCCGGCCTGTCTTCCGCCTGCCCGGTGTTTACTGCCGGGAGAGCCGGACTCTTCCCGGCAGTGCTGGCGGGGGGGGCAAGGTGGCAGGCACAAACTGCAGTGCAGCACACTGCAGTTAAACATAAGACAAGACCTTTTTCAGGGGCTGGGGGAGGTTGCCCGGGGAGGCTGCAGGGTCTCTGTCCCTCCGAGCAGGGGGCTGCCCTAGGGGACCCCTCTCAGCTTCACTGGCTCCCAGCGCGCAGGGAAAGATGTCTGCTGGTGTCCCCCCTCCTGTCTCTCCGCCTGGTGTCTTTGTGGTGGCAGAGCCCACAGCAGAAAGCATCCCCGGGAGGATCTCTGTGCCCTCGCTGCTCAGGCGGAGGGGATGTGTCCCAGGCGGGATGCTCAGAGGGGTCTGTGACCTGCCAGGCGGCTCCTCTCCAAAAACCACTGGGCTCAGTGTGTGCTGCTAACCGGGGTGCCCTGTAGCTGTGGCCTCCAGGCAGGGGGTGAGTCACCCCCCACCCCGGGCACCAGCTCCTGACCTGACCACAGCTGTGGGGCTCGCACCCCAGTGGTGACAGCAGCCCTACCCACTGGGAGCAGCCTTGCTGTGACTCCAGTGTGAAGCAGCTGCTGGTGCCTGAGGAGCGAGGGGACGGAGCCCACTTCCTGGGGGACCCTCGCCAGGCAGGTCCTGGGGCGTGCTGGCAAGCACAGGCCCCCTGCTCCAGATCCCTGCCTGGACGTTGTCCCTCTGACGGGGACAATGGCGATCATCACCGGGGGGGCCAGGTCCCACCAGGAGCCAACCCGGGGCATGGCTCTGGAGCAGGCGCGTGGGCACCCGGGGGCTCTGCGCAGCCGCTCCTACGGGTAGTGTCAAGGGGCCCCGCAGCACCCCAATCCCGTTTGTCCTGATTCCTGGGGAGGGAGGTGCAGAGGCCTGAATGGCTGGTTTTGGGATCAAGCAGGCGATTTTCCAGCCTGGCATGTCTGCTGAGCGCTCCCCTTGGCCAAGGGCTGAGGATGAATCCCTGATGCACGTGCCACATGCAAGGCAGGACGCACGTCATGACCATCACCGGATTAATGGCCGGCATCCTGCTCCACCTGCCAGTGTGCCGCCGGCACCCACGGCTGCGCGCCCTGTCCGGCAGGCTGCACCCCGCGGTCACAGGCAAACCCAGGTGAGTGCAGGAGGGGGAGGCTGGGACGTGCCGGGGCTTGGGGGTAGTGGGACGACTGCTTGAGAGTGGGAGGGGAACCATATGGTGCGACAGTGTGGAGTATCGGCAGCAACGTGTATGGGGCACGTGGTATGCTATAGGGTTTCATGGGATGGTGGGGATACCTCTGGGGCAGGGTGAGATCAGGATGCATGGGGGCCATGCGGCACTCCCACTGCTCATGGTCTGCTTCTCCTCCATGGCAGGGCTCGGTGGGGCCGGCAGGCACCAGGGCGCCTGCTCTTCTGGCGGCATGGAGGTGCAGTGCCGGCGCAGCGCGGCGTTTGACTGCATGCCCCAGCCGGCAGCCTGCTGCCCTGACTGGATGGCAGGGCTTCCTGATGCCCTGCCCCTCTCCCGCCTCTCCATCCCTGGCACCCATGACTCCCTCAGCCTGTTCGGCAGCCGGCGCCTGCGGTGCCAGAGCTGGGGCCTGGAGGCCCAGCTGGCAGCCGGCGTCCGCTTCCTGGATGTACGCTGCAAGCTGGCACGGGGAGAGCTCCACATCTACCACCTCTGCACCTTCCAGCGGGCCAGCCTGCGGGGGGTCCTGCGCCGCACCCTGCGCTTCCTCCGCACCCACCCTGGCGAGGCCGTGCTCATGCGCATCAAGGAGGAGCTGCCCATCTTGCCCCGGCCCGGCTTCGCCACCCAGCTGCACCGCTGCTTGCTGGAGGAGGGACAGGGCCGTGTGTGGTGCCAGGAGGAGGTGCCAACGCTGGGCCAGGTGCGGGGGAAGATCGTGGTGCTGGAGGCACTGGCACGGGAGGTGCTGGGCATCCCCTACGAGCAGCTGAGCATCAGCGATGCCTGGAATGTGCTCTCACTGGAGCGCAAGTGGGCACGGGCACGGCAGCACCTGGAGAGGGCGGCTGGTGGGGACCCCACCACCATGCACCTCACCTTCTGCTCCGGCAACGGGCTCTTCACCTGCCCCGAGGAGGTGGCCCGCTTTGTGAACCCCCGCTGCTACCAGCACCTGCGGCGCCACGGGGGACAGCCCGTGCGCTGGGGGGTGGTCATCATGGACTTCCCTGGGGCAGGGCTCCTCCGGCTCATTGTGGAGAGCAATGCCCCATGGGCCAGTGGACACATCACAGCAGCCCCCAGCACTCCCACAGTACCCTTGCGGCAGCCCCGTGGCAGAGGGGACAGGCGCCGCAGCCGGCACAGCTCCACTCACTGCCCGCACCGGTGTCCATCAGGACGTGATGACACCATCAAACGGTGTCCAGCCCCACGCCTCTGCCGAAGGACATCAGCACCTGTAGAGCAAAAGCGGGTTTCTAGCTCTTGCTGGGCACCAGGAAGCCTTCATGTGATGATGGTGTGACAGCGCCGGAGGTGGCAGAGGAGGGTTGGCAGCTGCAGTCAGAGCCGGGCAGCCCCAGGAGCTGCTCCCTGCACGCTGCTCTCCCCTAGGGAGCCAGGTATGGTCCCGGCATGGGGCTGGGCCAGCCAAGTCCCCGGCGGAGCAGCAGGGATGGGGTGGAGGGAGAAAGTCCTGCCTCACCTCCTCTTGGGCCAGTGAGTCCACCTGAAATGCCTCTCTGCAAAACAGCCCTTTTCCTTTCAAGGGTAAATAAAAATAAAAAGAAGCTAGGAAAGCACTCACTGCATTGCCTTGCCTTCTGCCTAGCAGAAAAAACCTCTTGCTTTTGCTGCTCAGCTGTGAAAGAGCCCGTACCCCTCCGCCCATTGCCAAAGCAGTCATATTGGTGTTTGTAGCCATCTTGCTCTTAAAGCAGAGCTGCAAGAGGTCAGAGGAGGAATTAATTTCAAAGGTGACAACAAATTGTTAGTAATGTCCTTCCCCTCGTTATTTTAGCTTTTGTTTTTTTCTTGCAGGGGCTTGCCCCAAAAGTCAGGACTGTTAGAGAGACGCAGCTTCAGCAGGCACTGCCAACCCTGCACATGGAGATCTGGATGGCCACAGCAGCGGCATTTCAGAAGGGGCTACCCTGTCCCTGGGGTCACATGCCCGCAGGACACCACACAGGGCAAAGCTTGGCGGTTTGCAACAGTGTGGGCAGCGTGGATGGGGCAGCTTGTAGATCCACAAAAGCAAAGTGGTTGAGACGTAAAAAAGACCTTAAAACGCATGTTGTGCCAGTGTCTGCCCTACCTGCAGAAAATAAATCAGCAATTTAAATAGACTGGCAAGTCGCAGGACACAGTAGCTCCTTGGAGCAGAAAGATAACCGAGATCCCAGGGGAGAAAGCATCAAACAGCTGCCTGTGCTGAAGTGGGGAGGTGAGAAAGGGAAGAGGAAAGCTCAGGCCCGGCCTGCCAAAAGGTGAAGAACATCCTCAAGGATGCTTCTGTCTCAGGGGAAAACGCAGCTGGACTCAGTGCCTGCCAGAGGGGATGCCGCAGGATTTCCTGGAGGGAGGAGAGGACATTGTTTTCTCCACAGGGGCTGACCCTGGCTGGAGACATGGCTCTCAGTGCTGAATATGTTCATCCGCTGGCCCCGGGTGGGCTGCGGTGGCTCTGCCTGGGGAGCAGGGGAGGACTGAGCTCATGCTGCAAAGAGCCAGATGGGAGGGGAGCAGGCAATAGTGCGCAGGGGGTGACGGAGGTGACGGCTGGGGGAATCCACCTCTGGCCTTGCTTTGTGAGACCGGATAAGACTGATCTCCCTGCATTAAACCAGACACGTGACAAAAGCACTAGTGATGTCCGGGGTGCTGGTGGCCTGCTCCATCTGCTGCCAACGCCTCCACCGCCTGGGGCTGTTGCCCCCATGCTGAGCCAGCCTGATGGCTCTAAGTATTGCCCTCGCACTGGGTGCCACAGAAGGATGGCCAAGCAGGTCGGTGGCCCCAGCCCTCCAGGGATGCACAGTGCCATGGGGAGCCGGGCAGGGCGCAGGCTGAGCAGTCACAGTTCCCCGGAGTGGCTCTGTGGGCTGGGTGGCTTTGCTCTCACTTAGGGCAAGGGCTGCCTGCACAGCTGCAGGGCTGCCCCTGGATGCGGCACATCCCCGGAGCTGCACCCCAGCACCCCATACCCACCCTGTGCCCCAGCTCACTGGCAGGGCAGGGCCGCTGCCTGGGATTCCCTGGGTGGGCAGAGCCACTTGTTTACTCCCTACCACACAAGCAGCGAGATAACTTTGGCGTTATCTACGCCCCCGGCATCCTGTTTGGCGAACCTTTATCTGTGCCACACACGTGTTGCTGCTGCCAGGCGCCAGGGAGCCAGCTGGCAGCACGGGCAGGGGTACCCGGCTGGCAGCAGTGCCCAGCAAAAAGGCTCTCCATCGCTGGTGAGGCAGAAAGCTGTCCTGCAGCTGAGATCAAAGAAACGTCTCTGAGAGGGACCCTGTGGGGTGGGCAGGAGTGATTTGCCCAAAACTACCCCTGCACCCTGCAGCTGGGGCTGCCCCAGCACCGCGGGGTCCCTGTGGGTGGGGGAGTGCAGGGTGCCACGGCCCGTGAGCTGTCTTGGAAGCATCCCTGTCCTTCTGGCCCCAGCTAATCCTTGCAACCATCTCACCCCCTCCAAGCCAGGGCGCACTCAGATAACATGTCTTCTTGTGGCCAAACACTTTCAAATTGTGAGAAAGATTTTACCGGGTGCTGCTTTCCTCCAGGGCCGTCAGAGGAGGGTCCTGCTGCCCGGGCTGCAGGCCAGGCATCGTGCTGGGAGACGTGCCCAAAGGCAACCTGTAGCTCAGGGACACCCTTTCAGTCAAACACCCCCTGGGGACCTGCGGTGGGAGGGGAGCCGTCCCCTGCCCACACTCAGGAGGTGCCTCCAAAGCCTCCGCTTGACGCGGCCATTGCAGGACCTAGGGAGAGCCACCCTACTCCCCAGGTGGAGCAGGGGGATGGCGGGAGTGGGGCTGCACCCCAGCGTGGTGTGGGTCCTCACAGGCACCATGCCATGCTCCTGCAGGGATGCTGTCGGGTGCCTCCTCGCTCCGGTGGGCTGCTGAGAGGGCGAGGGGGGCTGCCCAGGAAGGTGCCCACTGTATCGCCGGTGGCAGCTGAGCCGGGTGGGCTGTGTCAGGGTGACTCAGTTCCTCTGCGGTTTGCCGGAGGACATTGCACAAGGAGGAGAACAGGCTGTGCTGCCATGGGGTGGGAGCCTCTGCCCAAAACAACATAAGTGTGCCTCTGCACTGGGAGGGGGGGTGCAGCGTGGTGGTGATGGGTGTGCCCCTCGCACCCCCTGCCCCCAGGGTCTCACTCTACCAGGTCCTGAGCACTCCCTGGGGACACAGTGCAGGGCACAGCCTAGTCTTGGCCCTGGGGCAATGGTAACTCTGCAGAGGCTAATCCCTGGGGCATCTGCCCACCTCTGCCAGTGCCCACCTCCCCATGCAGCACGTACAGCCCCTGCCACCATGGGTCCCATCCACACCTGGGTGCTTCCAGAGCCATCAGCATACTCATGCAGGCATTGCAACCTGCCCTGCACATGGCACCCTGCCCGCAGCACGGCTGAGCACGCAGAGAGGGAGCAGAGCATCAGCCTGGGCGGGCAAAGGGCCAAGCGCTTCCCCCCGGACAGCCCTGCAATTGCAGCCTGCGGGTGGGTTGCCCAACCCCGCCAGCTGCACAGCATCCTTGGCAGTGGTTTGGAGGTGGGAGTTGGGCACCCATGCCCCTTCCCCGTGGCAGGGCTCTCGGGAGAGAGCATTGCCTCTGTCTGTGGCTCAGGACTAGGGCACAGCAAAGGAGGCACATTTCCATTCCAGATCCCTGCAGGGCCCAGCGGGACGGTGAGGAGATGACATGGGAAAGTGCCTTTGTACCTGCTCCCCTGAGCCACCGCTGAGCGAAGCCCTGGCTTGCAGCTTGTGCTGTGCCCCAGAAGCAGTGGCGGGGGGGGGACAGGATGCACCAGCCTGCTGCCTGGGAAATCCCTGTACTGCTCAGCCTGTAAGGCAGGGATGGGCCCTTCCTTGGTAAGCGGGGCAGCAGGACCCCAGCTGGGAGCATGTGCCCTGCAGCATCCTGAATCCTTCCCAGGGAGCCTGCCTTGGAAACCACCCGAAATGTGAAAGGGCTCCTGGCAATTAGCCAGCTCCCAGCAGAGCTGCAGAGCTGATTTGGGTCTTCTCTCCTTCTCACCACATGTACCTTTTTCCACTACCTGCAAAGCAACCCTTGGTACTGGTCCTGCCATGCAGGACCCCCTCTCCGAGTCCAGCTACCCACAGGCAGGGGGTTCCTGCCCCCCACAAACAGCTTTGAACTTGGCCACATTCTACCCTTTGCAGCAGCAGCCTCTGGGTCTCAGCCACCTTGCTTCTGTTTTTAAAATAATACCAGAAACTATTTTTAGTTACAAAAATAAAGGTGGGAGTATTTTTTTTCTACTGCTCTGCCCTACCGTGTCAGGTTTCAGTGAAACTGAAGTGAAACTGGCAGGGGCACAGCCTGCTCCCCCCTGGGGCTGTGCATCCGTGAGCACCCCTCTGACTCCCAGCGAGTCTCCCACTCGCCTCTCTGCCCAACCAGCTGCTTCTTCCCTTGCTGTAATTGCACACCCTCTGAACATGAGCTGCTAGAAAGCAAGCGCTCCTGAATTACTGGACATACAGGCTCATCCTCAGCAATTCCATAAAAATAGACAATTGCAGTAAAACATTTTGCAAGGAAGATATCCAGAGACAGGAACTGAGTTTCATTTACATTGGCCAAGTATACAGTCATTGTAGTGGGTTACGGCTTTTGTGGGATGGGTTCCTCCTTTTGTCTAGCATGAGTCCCGCTGGAGCAGCATCAATTTCTCTGGAACTGGAAAATGCATGCGACCTGCATGGCTCTCACTTCAGCTTTAGCTGGAAGTGAGCAGAGTAATTCCTGCAGAAAACCCTGCCAAGGCAATTTTACTTAGAAGCAGAATGGAGTAAGGAAAGATTTATGATGATTCAAGAATGATCCAAGGGGAGGTGGACACAATGAGGCATGTTCCTGAAGCATTGGTGGAAGTTCATAAAGGATATTAACAACTCAGGGGAAGTTCCTCTGGCATGTTCTTGGACCTTTCTCATAAAGGCTTAAAGGCAAAGACAGGAAAATACATTGTGCAAGTAACTGTTTATAAACGGTATATGAAGATTCACAACCAGAGCAAAAAGCCTGCGAGCAAGGAGAGGATCCGGCACAGGAGCCGGGAGGCTGTGAGCCACACTCCGGCTCAGCCCACGCAGGAGTTCATCACTCCTCATCCCTCCTCTGTCCTCTGATGGCCGGCGTGGGCACTGCGACATAGACATGGTGGGTTGGAGAGGTCTCAGTGCCCTGGGCACCATAGGCTGGGGCTGGACCCCTCCTGGGGGGCCCTTCTGCACCTCCTGGGGGGCCCAGGCAAGGCCACCTTACTGCGGGTTGGCTCCCATGGCAGCGTCGGGATGCACCCAGCTCCCATGCCATGGAGCAGCTGCCGAGCTGAGTCCCACCAGGGCTGTGGCCAGGGCTGAACCCCGCTGTTCCACTCTGGCCCCAGGCTGGGAGCGGGATCTCTAGGGGTGGTAGAGCCCCACAGCAGGGGAGGCGGGGATGCAGGGCAGGATGCGGGCTGGCAGCAGGGCTGGGGTGGGAGGGGAAGAGGCCAAGGGCAGGGAGCAATGCTCTGCACGCTTGGAGGAAGTGTGATCACCGCTGCCCGCCGAGGGCCAGACGCGCCTGGCAGTGCCAACAGCTGGGCAAGGTGTGTCTGTGGCTCCAACATGGTAGGTTCCACTCCTTTCCTTGGGGATGAGTTGGGGTCTGCCTGGAAAAGGGGGTCAGGGGAGGGCAGGGCTGCAGGCAGGCGCTGCCAGGAACCGGTGCCGCTGCCGGGGACCCATGGGACAGACCCAGGCTGCCCCGGAGAGACCCTGCCCTGGGCAGCGAGGCTGTGCCAGGCACTCAGGGCACTGCCACTTCGGAGGCAGGGGCCAGCGCTGGGGGGGCGGGGCGGG